AATGGTCACTGTCAGCATTTTATCACCCCCAAATTATATGCATTTGGTCCTTCATCTGTCTTCAGAAAACCTGCATACATATGTCTCTTTAGGAGGCCTTTAAACATCTGATTCCATTAGCTACACTTTCATTGACCTCTAAAAAGAGGTCTTTTTAGGACTTCCAATTTTGGGTTTTCAAACTAGCACAGCATAGAAATCAAAGAATGCACTATCAAATAAAGTACAATCAAAGGAGCTTTCAGAAAGAGCTACTTTTTTAACTCTAGACCTGACATTCAATCACTCACAAAATTTGCCTTCTAGACGAAGTTCGGCTGATTAACCTACTGATTCAAATTGCAACTCTCCTATAAATATATCTCTCTGTTTACCCATGTAGTTCTTCCCAGAAGAAAAAAAAAATCCTAATTAGCTATTGCATCCCCTGTATCTGTTACACAGCGACCTTTCTTTTTAAAATATACCATCTGTCTCTATCCATGAAAAAAGTCTCACAAAAAAGGAAAAAAATAAGAAAAGCAAAAAATAAAGCACCAAGTGGGATAAATAGGAAATTTACAGGTATCCTAATTACCCTGTGGTAAGATGAGTGGCTAATAAATTAAATAAATAAATAAAAGCATCCTAGAATCAGGTTTTTTTAATAGATTAAAGCAACTGAATGTACTGAAGCATTTTAAAAAAAAACCCACAAATCATTAAAACCTATGAATACTGACAGCCACATTCAGCAGTACAGTATATATCATAAAATGAGATCTACATGAGAATTACAGTAATTTCTATCCAAGCTTTTAAAGACTTCACTACAAAAAAAAAAAACAAATTTCAGAAGCGGTACCAGCCTGTAGAAAGTTATAAATAGTTCTGGAGTTGAATTAAAGTCTGTGTTAGATTTTCTTTGGAAATACAGTATGATGGGATTTTTTTTAAAAAAATATTTTATGATTTGTTTGATCCCCCAGCGTTACTTGTTGAGGTGAGTGGCCACAAAAACTGAATAAATAATTAAATAAACTTTAGAGAGAGAGGTAAGAGGTGAAGTATGAAGGTCTGCCATGAGTTTCCATATTTAGGGGTAATAAAATCTTGCCTGGAACTCAGAGGGTAACTAGATGTAAATATTATGTCAATGGTCTCTCAGTAAACAAAGGTTATAAAGTAGGGCAGGCATAAATAGCTTTCTTATTTCATTCTTCATCCAGGCCAGCACTTTTACGTACAGTACTAGCTCAATGCTGCTTTCTGTAGAAGAAAGAGAAGCTGAGGGTGGAGTCAAAAGAAGGATCAGCCTAGAACAGTGGTGGCGAACCTATGGCACGGGTGCCAGAGGCGGCACTCAGAGCCCTCTCTGTGGGCACACGCGCCGTCGCCCCAGTCTAGGCCTTCAGCTGGGTTTTATAAAACCTTTTTGCTTTAGGCCTCCGCCGTCGTGTGCAAAAAAAAAAAAGGTTCAATCAATCAGTCAATTTCAACTTCTTGCGGGGAAAAAAAAGATCTTGCAAAGTTGGAATTGATTGATTGAACTTTTTAGTCCCACCCAGTCTGCCGTTATCACCGCAGCCACGCCCACCCAATTGGCCACACCCAGCCACACCCACCCAGCACCCGACGATGCATAAGTGGGTTTTGGGTTGCAGTTTGGGCACCCGGTCTCTAAAAGGTTCGCCATCACTGGCATAGAATCTCTACATAGTCACATGTGGACTAAGTCTACCTCTCTCTTGAATTCCGCTGGCCCTAGCATCAATTTAGTGCTGACCATTAATTGAGAAGATTCCCGTGCACAGGCATGATTAGCAATAAATCAATTCAATTGGATAAATCAGTTTAATCTGTTCACATGTGGACCTGATCTTTCGCAGTGGGTGTTTTCAGAATACAGAGACATCTTTTTGCCAAAATAAAACAATAAAGAAGTTTGTATCGGATACCAACTGACGTAACTTTGAAACGTACACCATTTTGTCCTCTATCTGGATGTTTATTCTGCATGAGACTATTCTTTGTATACCAGTAAATTTTCAGACTGAATTCCCTTGGAAGCCACTGATATAAATCTGTGCCATTATCTGGGACAAGTTTGAACTGGTCAATCCTGGCTAAGTAGAAGTCCTCACAGCTGTTGAGTTTGGCCACCTGAGTTCTGGACTCCAGGAGGTGGCATATGGTTGGGTTCATGCAGTAGTTAATGACTCTTTGAAGCATCCTGGGGGGGGTGTCACGTGATCACCATTTGCGACCATTTCCCAGCCAGCTTCTGACAAAGTCAAAGGAGAAAGCCACATTCACTTAACAACTGAACGATCCACTTAACAACTGCAGTGATTGGCTTAACAATCATGGCAAAAAGGTCATAACACTGGGTGTGGCTCACTTAACTGCCTTGCTTAGCAATGGAAATTCTGGCCCCAATTGCGGTCGTTAAGTCAAGGACTACCGGTAAAGGACTCCTCTCTTTTCTGGTCCCATGCTCTTCTGGTTAGTCAAGGTCTGCTAGGAAGTGGCCTAGGCTTGTGTCCATGCAGTTGTTAATGACTCTTTGTGGCAGGGGAGTGGTGTCATCTGTCTTGAAACCATTCTTGGACCCAACAGAATTGGACAACTTTAAAAACAATGGTCAGATAAGAAGGGCCTGAGTCCAGGCCAAGAAAACAACGAGAAAATAGCAATGGCACTTAGACTTATACACCACTTCACAGTGCTTTACAGCCCTCTCTAAGCAGTTTACGGAGTCAGCATATTACCCCTCAACAATCTGGGTCCTCATTTTACGAACCTCGGAAGGATGGAAGGCTGAGTCAACCTTGAGCCTGCCAGGATTGAACTGCCAAACTGCTGGCAGCTGGCAGTCAGTAGAAGTAGCCTGCAGTACTGCATTCTAACCACTGCGCCACCTCGGCTCACGTCACCCATCCCCAGTTCTTATGAAGATGAAGTAAGGGAGGAGGCAGTGCATTCAGACTCGAAAGCTTCTCTTACTACCAAGCATAACACCAACTTACTGCTTTTTCAGTGCAATGGTTTGACTCAACCGGCCACGTTTTTAATCTCCAGTTTGGAATTTCCGGATTGGAGATAAATATTGTGCTAAACAGTTATGGCCATTTTGCAGATAGGAGTATATTTATATTTCTTGCCATCCCCGTCTCCCAGCCACTGGATAAGAGATGCCGAGAGATGTACCAGTGGCATAAGTACATCCTCAACTTACAACCATCTATTTAGTGACAATTCTAAAGTTACAACAGCATTGAAAAAATTAACTCTCCGTGTCTGCTTTTCACAAATATGACCACTGCTGCATCCCCATGCTCATATAATCAAAGTTGGCAACTGGTTCATATTTATGACGGTTGCAGTGTCCCAGAGTCATGTGGTCACTTTTGGTGATCTTCTGATAAGTCAGTGGGGAAGCCAGATTCACTTAACAACCGCGTTACTAATTTAACAACTGCAGTGATTCACTTAAGAACTGTGGCATGAATGGTCATAAAATGGGGCAAATCTCACTTAACAACTATCTTGCTTTTCAATGGAAGTGTTGGGCTCAGTTGTGGTTGTAAGTTGAGGACTACCTATATTTCACTTAAGTAGAAGGACTGAATGTTTGGCCCAATTTTTTTTCCCTTTGGTGTGCATTTTGCTAGCTTCTGTTACAATAAGTTTGCTAACCTCATTAGAAACTTATTGCCTCTATTGTATTCAATAAGCTGTCAAAATTGGCAGAAATTCATGCTGTTATTCAATATCTGGATATCCAATTTCCGCGATGCGGTCTTGGGCCCGCAGAGAGTTGCATACCATTTTCTCCTGCATCAGCTTAACATTTGGATAGTTATTGTGACATTGCATAACAACACAGCATTTAATTTTCAAATCTTTTGACGGTCCAAAAATAGAAATCTCTCTTGAGCTTTGCAAAAATCTCTCTCATATAGGATCCTGCCCATTATGATTGTAAGTCGTAGCAGTTATGAGTTGGTCATGTGGCCGAACCCATTTTGCGACTTTATCTTCTTCTTTTTAAATTTTTTATTAATTTTCCAATGTTACAATTATATCTTTGAAAAGCAATGTGGTGTCTGAGTTACAATAATTCCATTACATACAGGTATTATTAATATAAATCTCCAACTATTACAGCCAATATTTCTTCTTTTTTTTCCCCTTAATACATACTGTCTCTTGTTTAAATTAGTATACTTCTTATTCTATCCATCAGCTACTTAATGGCTTTCTTACATTTATCAATAATTTTATATGTCTTATTTATTTTAACATTCCATCTTTTGGACCATCAATAACCTTATGAATTTTCCCAGCTTTAATTTTGCGTTGATATTTAAATTAAACGTTTAATATTTATCATTTCCAAATTTTTATATGACCCCAATTCCCTCTGTCACAATTCCCCCAAACATCTAGTATTCCGAAAACATACCTTATCTATCTCACTTCTATATCAACAAATTAGTAATACAATATAACATTCTTATTTTCATTATAATTTCCAAATATTATAAATTCAATAATCAAAATTTCTCCCATTTCAGCATTCTTCCTTATATCCACATTCTCATTTTGCGACTTTATCTTGTGGTGGACATTAAGTGAACATAGTGCTTGCAAAATTAAGGCAGTTAATAGTTTGCTACGCGCATGGTTTTGCCAAAAATCGGATGTCCCAGCTTTCAGCAAAACTGTTGTAAAAGATGGTCACGTGACCACAGGACACTGAAAATGGCCGTAAATGTGGCCATGTTGCCGAGCACTCCATCTTTGGTCATGTGACCATGAGTACCTTCGGGGTTCCATATAATTTCCAACATTCATTAAGCAAGGAATACTTGTACTGAAATTATAAAGAAATATTCAGCTATTGCTGAGGCTGTGATTTTCAAAGAGACAATCGTTTTGCTAAAAAAAAAACACCCGATGGTTATTCACATCTATCTTCTACTTAACTCTCAAGCTGAATATGGTGGGTCAAATACCTTGTGTTGTTCCTTCATCACCTGTTCAATAAGCTCAGATTTCACGGGAGGTTTCGAATACTGGCCTGAAAGAAGCCCATGTCCCAATTTAGCCCTGTAGCGAGGGAGAAGGGGAAGGGGAAGAAAGAGAGAGCATACCAAAAGTTGCCCACTAAGTTTTAAAAAGGGAGAAAGAACGGGAAGCAGAAAGTAAGTTTCAATCAGCCATCTGTCAACAGGAATCTAATCTGGACTCATCAGATACCCCCAATAAGACTATCCTCAAGTCGCAAAAGGTGCTTTTCCAAAGGCAACTGGACTCTCTTTTTGTTTTCTTTTGAAAACGTTTTGCTTCTCATCCAAGAAGCTTCTTCAGTTCAAACTGAAAGGTGGGGAATAGAAGGATTTATATTCTTCGCAAGCATCTGGTCGTTAGCTCTCTGAAGGCTGGTTGTTAGCGCTCTGAGAGTCATTGAGGCCACTTGGGGATTTATGTGTATCTTCAGAGTCACCTGAATCAGAGGGCAAATGGGTGTGGAACCTTCTTGGGACTGTCGGAAGGACTGTGTTATAGACAGGAGATAGGAGGTGTCGTATCCCTCCCCCTCTGTTGAGAAATGGCTGCTCAGTTTTAACGTAGATGGCCTCTTTGAGCCCCTCTTTCAAACCAGTGGTCCTCTCTGTCTACAATGTGGACTTTGCTGTCCTCAAAAGAGTGACCTTTGTTTTTCAAATATAGATGGACTCCTTTGCTCTCCTATGTTAGGACAGGATGTCTCGTACCAGGACAAGATTCAGCAGTTGGACTAGATGACCTCCAAGGTCCCTTCCAACTTTATTATTATTATTATTTTTATTATTATTATTATTATTATTATTGTTGTTGTTGTTGTTGTTGTTGTTATTTCAACAAGCATGACCTGGATGACTGAGAATATCCATTGACTATCCACAAAGTAAGCTTTCTTTCACATCCTACAAAGCGGGGGTCCCCAACCCCTGACCTGTAATCTGGTACCGGGCCACAGCCTGTTGGGAGCTAGGCCACATAAGCAGCAGGCGGGTGTGCGAGCACTCAAAACTACATTTGTGCAAATGGTGCGCAAGCAAAACCATCCCCTCTCCCCTTCGCCACTGGTCCACAGAGCGGGGAAAGGGTTGGGGACCGCTGCTATAAAGTAACCAGCCACTTACATTTGAGTATTGAAATCTTGTGTTGGGTCCAAAGAAGAGTAGTCAAATATCCTTGGAAGGTTTCCCACATACCTAACGCAAAGAACAGCAAAAGACAAAGGAGAAAAGGAGAAAATATTGAAAGATTACGAAGCGCTCTGAGAAATCAGCCATCAATACACGGATAAACATTAACAACATTTGCAGACTATGCAAAAGAGGCTATTACCCAGCCCAAAAAGGAACAAAAAGACCCAAGCACTTGGCCACCAGCAATCAGCATCCAGATCAGCATAGATTAACTCCAAGGTTAACATCAGATGAATAAACAATCAAGAAACTGCCAAAGAAGCCAACAGAAAACAGTCCAGTCAAAGAATCTCTAAGACCACCCCCACCAACACTGACAGGCAAGCCATTAGACTATAAAGTGACAGCAAACAGCACTCCTTAGTAGCACTGATGATGTTACCAAGTTTGGGTAATGAAACGTCTGCAAGAAAACAAGCAACCTCAGAGAGCATCAAGGACCCCTCATGTTTCTGACCTGTTAAAACTGAGTTTTTACAAAATTAGAAGTGACTTACGCCCTCTGAAATTCAGGAATACTGAAAATGGCTTGCAATATACTGTTGATGTAGCAGCTGTTCCCCAAGTTTTTCATGCCGGTATATCCAGGTCCATACATTGGTTTCAGTTTCATGCCCGACTCTTGAATGACTTCCCATTCAGAAACTCGGGGTTTTATGTCATTATCTTTCAGGCCATTCTCTGTCTGAAAACAAAAAAACGAGGAGGAGGAGGAGGAGAGGAAGAAGAAGAGGAAGAGGAAGAGGAAGAGGAAGA